ATAAAAATATATATTAAAAAAAAAAAAAAAGATGGGAAGAGGTTGCCTGCAGGCTCCTCCCGGGCAGCCCTGTGAGGAGATGGAGTTCTTAGCTGAAGGAAAAGGCAGCAACGCTGAGACCCGGTGGTGGTGGTGGTGGTGGTGGTGGGTGCCCGGAGCCCAGCTCACCGCCCCGCACCCGCGGGACCGGGCGGTCCAGGCGCGGAGAGAGCGTGGCCTGCTTCCTTGCCTTCCCAGGAACCAACGCGTCCGCCCCGGACCAGCTGAGCCTGGCGCTGGCTTGGAACCGCGTGGACATAGCACGGAGCCAGATCTTTGTCTTCGGGCCCCACTGGCCGGTGAGACCGTCTCCCAAGTCACCCCCCCATCCCGACCTTGTCCAGAGGGCGCACAGTAGGTGCTCCCCCGGCCACACGGTCCTTGGGGATGATCCGCCGCGAGATCCGCTAGGATTAGGAGGGGACGTGGCTCTTTAACCTCGAGGAACCAGGGGGAAGGAGGAGCTACCAGCACTGGCCTCAGACCCCAGCCAGGGCTCTTGGAGAAATGACCGCTTGATGTGCATTTTCCTAAAATATATTTTTATTGATCTCAGAGAGGAAGGGAGAGGGAGAGGGAGATAGGAACATCCATGATGAGAGGGAGTCATGGACCGGCTGCCTCCTGCTGGGCCGGGCGCCCACCCGATATCTTAGCGTGGCCCGTGAAAAGGGGTGCTCACCCTTCCAAAGAAAAGGGAAAAGTGCCCGGCCGGTGTGGCTCAGGGGTGGAGCGTCGACCTATGAACCAGGAGGTCAGGGTTCGATTCCCCGTCAGAGCACATGTCCGGGTTGCGGGCTCGATCCCCAGTGTGGGGCGTGCAGGAGGCAGCCGGGCCATGATTCTCTCTCATCACGGATGTTTCTCTCTCTCCCTGCCTCTCTGAAATCAACAGAAATATATTTTAGATTTAAAAAAAAGAAAGAAAGAAAATAGCTCATTAAAAGGAAACACAATGATTGTATTGAGAGCACTCGGTTTTCACACTCTGGTCCGTGACACCCTAGAGGCCTCTAGAACGGTGTGTACGTGTGCGTACTCCTGTTCTCATGAGTGCATGTGTGTGCATGCATGTACACGTGCGTGCATGCATGCAGAGGTGAGGGTCATCTCGGGACCACCGGCTCTCATGTTGTTTTCCCCCCATTTCTGCGGACGGCAGCCCCTGGGGAGCCTGGCCCCCCCAACGGACAGCAAGGCCACCGAGAGGGAGAAGAAGCCGCCCACGGCCACCACCAAGGGCCGAGGGAAAGGGAAAGGCAAGCGGAAGGGGAAGGGGAAGGAGGAGGGGGAGGAGGAGACCGACCCCCGCAAGATCGAGCTGCTGAACTGGGTACGTGGGGCGTCCGGCTCACGGCTCCCTCCCTCCTCCCCTCCCTAAACTGACCAGTTGCTTCCCGCATGCACCCAAATGGGGATCGAACCCACAACCTAGGTCTGTGCCCTGACCCGGAATGGAACCTGCCACCCTTCTGTGTACGGGGCGACCCTCCCACCACCTGAGCCACCCAGCCAGGGCCCATCGCTCATGGACGACAGAGACGTAAATGATAAATAATGTGATGTTTATGATAAACACAGCACAACCCACCACCTCAGAGAACACTGCTCATGGGGGTGGGGGCGGCGGGGATCCGAGTCCCGCTCCCATGTTATTTTGAAAAGAACGCGGCAACTTCTGTGGGTTTTCCTTCCCGTGTTTCTATGAAAAGCAGAGGCTAATAAACGATTTTAATTAAAAACAAAAGTGGACACTGGGAGAGCGAAGGCAGCTGGCCCGCGATCCTGAATCATCTCCAATGTGTCTTAAAAAGGAGGAAATCGCCTTGGCCGGGGTGGCTTGTTGGTCAGGGCGCCGGCCTGGCCACTGGAGGGTATCGGGGTCGAGTCCCGGTCAAGGGCACGTGCCTGGGTTGCAGGTTCGATCCCTGGCCCCCGGTTGGGGCACATGGAAGAGGCAGCCCGTGGATGTGTCTCTCTCACATAATGTGCCTCTCTCTCTCTCCCTCCCTCCTCCCCTCCTACTTTCTCTAAAAATCAATGGAGCCCCAGCCAGTGTGGCTCAGTAATCAGAGCGTCGGTCCAAAGACTGAAGGGTTGAGGGTTCGATTCCGGTCAAGGGCACGTGCCTGGGTTGCAGGCTCGATCCCGGGCCCTGGTTGGGGAGCGTGCAGGAGGCAACGGGCTGACGTGTCTCCCTCACATGATGTTTCTCCCTCGGTCTCTCCCCCTCCCTCCCTTCCACTCTCTCGAATCCAATGGGGGAAACATCCTTGGGTGAGGACTCCCAGCAACAACAACACAATCCATGGGAAACAATTAACCAAAAAACACAGGGAGAGCATCAGGCCTCCGTCCCCTCTCGTCACACTGGGTGGTGGGTCTGACACGGAGAGGCCAGCCCCGGGAGCACGGGCAGGGGAGGCGGGCACCCACTGCAGACCTGGGGGTGCGGGATCCATGCCGAGAGGTGCCCCCAGCCGGCCTCCGCCTCCCCCTCCCCCTTGCGCAGGTGAACGCGCTGGAGCAGGCCATGCTGGACGCCCTGGTCCTGGACCGCGTGGACTTCGTGAAGCTGCTGATCGAGAACGGGGTCAACATGCAGCACTTCCTCACCATCCCGCGGCTGGAGGAGCTCTACAACACGGTGCGTGCGCCAGGGGGGGCAGCCCCTCCCCCCTGCTCCCCTCCCTTCCAGCCGCCCCCCTCCGCCACCATAGGCCCGTGGTGGACACGTCCTAACCGCACTACACCTGTCCTGCGTCGGGCAAGAGACAGGCCAAC